TGGTGCACACCTCTGATCCCTAGCACTCAGGAGGCAGAGGCAGGAGGATTTCTATGAGGTTGAAGCCAGCCTGGTCTACAGAGTGAGTTCCAGTTTAGCAAGAGCTACACAGTGAGATGTCCATCGCAAAAAAAGTGTGATGAATATAATTAAAATAAGACATAAAACTTTCTAATTATAAAAGGTATCACAGAGTAGGGAAAAATCAGATGTAGGTGCAAACCAAGACAGGCACAGTTTAAGAAATCAGACAAATAAGCCACAGAAAACTGGACAAATGTTGTGAGGAGGCAATTCAGACAAACCATAGACTGTACAGTTGATACGCATACATTTCCTTAGTAATTAAAATGTGTTATTTGGCTTACTACAACCTAAGACCCTGAAAATGCCCCCTTTTTCTTCACTTTTGATTACCAATGCATTCCAAGTTCTTAAAAAAAAAGAGTACTTGGAATATAGAACACAGCTAATACATCTTTACTGATTATATGAATCTCACTAAGAATCAAGAAAATGGAAATTAGCATAGTATATGATCTCACACACAATGAGATCAGGAACATGATAGTTGACAGTGTGAGTGACCCATTATACAAATAATAGAGGTCCTATACAGTGGTGATGGGAGTTTAAGTTGAGAAAAGTTTGGCATTATAGTATATTTAAAGATGATACACTACCAGTGCCTTCATCCATAGATTGGTAGGAGGCAATTCTGTGTCTGTCTCCCTCACCTGGTAAATAAGGCAGTGGCTGTTCTCTGTTTTAGGCTATCTTTTGGAAACTGTTTGGATAGTAAACAGCTTTGAAGACAGAGATAAAGTCTCAGTGTGAAATAAGGAGCAAGTTTATAGAGGATCTGGGAGATAAAAACGCTTTCCTCTGGAGCAAGGAGGTGGGAGTCCTTACTCTAGTAATAAATAATGGGCTCTTTCAATAGCAAGTAAATGAAATAAAGCCTAACCAATCAGTAAACACAGCCAACAATCAATCAGTCAATCAATCAAACAAACGAACAAAAAGATTGAAAGGAGGCAGTTTTATTGCTTATTTAAAAGATAGAATAAAATAAATTTAAAAATTTTTAAAAAGGAAAAGCCTAACGCAAAAGTCCAAATTGATGCTGAAAATTCACAGTTGATCACTGCCCAAAAGATTTAAATGGTTCTTCTAGAGTTCTATTATAGACATCATATCTGTAAGTGAAGCCAACGTAAACTCACAGGATAATTTAGAATTCAGCAGGAGTGCTTCTCTGATTTTCGAAACTGTCACTATAGTGCTACTTCAAGATGTCCTAGAGAGGCACCCAGTACAATGTATGCTCTCTGACAAAGCTACAGATACGTAGCTGAGTTTTGAAGTGAGTAACCATGGAACAACACTGTAAACCAGAAAGATCAAAGTGGAACGTTTTAAGATTCAGAAATGTGGCATAACAGCACATTTCACCCAGGTTGTACAGCCCACAAAGAAGTCTCTCCTCTGCAGGGGTAAAGATGAAAGATTCCAACAAACTATCAACAAGAGCACTGGCAAAACTAGCTATTGGGAAGTTTCACAAAGCACATAGCCTTGTGGTCTCTTGGATAAGTAACCTTAAATCAGCACAGAAGCTATGCTTTGGCAAAGTATATCACTCATCATCCAGTACACTTGCAGAGAACAATACCAGGGAGCCACTTTGATAAGGGAGCTAGTGTCTGGTTTTAAATTGTTTTAGGGGTCAGAATTCCCTGCATATTCTCATTTATGGAATGCCACAGATAATCCATTGTATTCCCAGTGGGTAGCTGCCTCACACATCAAATCTGCTACAGTAGAGTGATTCTGACTTAAAACTGCTGAATGCCCTGCCCTGAAGGAGACAAGTATATTAACACAGGGAAAAACAAGTTGCATACCTCACGATCTAGAGAATGGGGAAGGAAGCTGCCCTCTGAGATCAGTGTTTTAGCTACCTGTGTTGATTTCAGCTGGCAACAGGACTCAAGGCAGTCATGCATGTAGTTCCAGCCACTCCTCCTCTAGTATGTTCAGAACTCACAGACTGGGGAAAAAAAAACTGCTTCTGTGGCTGCTCTGCCCACAGGAATTCGCTGGAGTGGTCTTTAGCAATGATACCCTCCAGCTGTAACTTTATCTCTGTAGCATAAGCCTAGGGAGATCTCGAAAGAAACTGCCTGGATCAAGCTGCTTTCTGCTCTTGCTCACCACTGGGAGCATCTCACTTGAAGGAGCTAAAGAGAATAGCACCTACTGTCGCCTTACATCTGGATGTGGACAGCCAAAAGTGGTCCTGAGAGGTAGTTTGCCTAACTCCAGCCATTATCCAAGATTGGTTCCTCCCTTGAAGGCATTTTGGCTGAAACAGTTATGGAAGAATAGACCCCACTATTTTCTAGGTGTACCAAGCTAGGGAGACTCACTAGTACTAGGGAGACCATTCACCACTACTGGGGCGACCAGAGTCAGAGGCTCTTAGAAGTAAGAGAAGTCACATCAATGGTGCTTGAGAAAATCCCATCAACTCTGGGGTCACCATTCTTTTTGTTTGTAGGGGTAATCACATAGGAGGTACCCCACACCACATACTGTACTGTCTATGATGCAATTACCTCACGTGCTCAAGTCTCTCAGCTCTTGTCACCTGCAGACACAGTGGGTCCTAGACTCCAATGTATTGTGACCAAATTCACTAATCACAGCTACAGAAGTAAAAGGGATAGTAGGTGCTCCAATGAAAATAAAACCATTTTCAGTACGGAGGACATCCCATGAAAGTGGTAAAAGTAGCCAATATACCAGATATGTATATCTCAACATAAGAACAAAGGAAAACAGTATACTGAAAAATACAATTCTAGAAAATGTTTCTGAAAATTGTGTGAATGAAAATTCCTGAAAAGAAGCTGTGTTTGGCTGTGGAAAACAAAACAAAACAAAGAAAAAAATCAACCAAACACAAAAAACTAAAATACAAACAAACCCGAAAAAAATTCTTCAAACAAGTCTGTATTTGCAGAGACTGATGGACCAATTGGAATTTCAGTACTGTGGGGAGATTGGAATTTTGCAGGTCCAGAGGCTAACTGCCTAATCTTGAGCTGGTTTTAGCCTTCCGGGACAGTCATTCCTCGTACCACTCTGGATCTGAACTAACACCCCATAATAATAAATACAAACCTCTTAGAAGCTATTAACTTAGAACTAACAGCTTGTGATAATAAATAAAAACCTATTAGAAGCCATTAACTTAGCAGGACACCACCTTCCACCAATTCAAGAGCTAAGAATGTTATCAAATAACACTTTAGGCCTATAATAAAGCTCCCCCTCCATGTATCTGCCTCTCTGCTGTATCCACCAATGTATTTTAAACTTGCCTTGATTCATGACTTTCTTTGTTCTGTAAAACTATAAAAGTTTTATGAAACTGCTTCTTCTTTGGAACATGGAATTTGGGGTAACCTAAATTGGTGTTCCCAAGCTACTGGTACTCAAAATGCCTCCAGAATAAACTCTCTTTTACTCCCTTTGAGAGTAATTGAAATGGGTGGAATGTGTAGCAACCCAAGAGTTATGTTTTTAAAGTCCAATGAGAGTTGAAAGAAAACGTACCAACATTTAAGTGAAATTAGAAAGGTGATACAGGATACAAATGAGAAATTCAAGAAAGAGATGATAGTTTAATAAAGACACAACAGAAATACTGGAAATGAAGAACTTAGTAAGTCAAAAAAAACAAAACAAACAGAAACACAAAAGACCAAACCACGCTGTCAAGTCCAAAGAAATTCCAGTATCCCAAATTCCAAAAGGCAGTGCATAAGGCCAGAAATGACAGTCTTGGCTCAACTCAGGCCAAACTATACAAGGATTGCTAAGAACCTACAGCCAGCATTTCTCGGGAACCTGTGAAATGGGTTTCTGCCTGTCAGAAAGTGCCACTTCGCTTGGCAGATAGCGTGGCTGTAGATCAAAGCCCATGCTGGGCTCCAGGTTCCTTCAGTCTCCATTCACAAGTACTTGTCTATTTTAAAGTCCAAGTTAGTCTCCTGGCCCTTCTCACCTCCCTCCACTCCTCCTCCACCATGCAGCTCCACCATGTTCCCAGGCTGCTGCAGTCCACAGGCTCCCCCCCCCCCAAAAAAAATAAGGGTTTCCTCCTACCCCCCCAAAAATAATAAAGTGTCCATTTCTATGGTTCCTGTACTGCGCATATGCGCATGCATGTGCGCATGCGCTTCAGATGTTACTCAGTGTTTGAGTGTTCAAGCTCCATGCAAGAGGTTTAGAGTTCAATATCCACTACTACAAACAAATCAACACAATAAATGAATAAATAATCAAGTAAATCCAGCAAAACCTTAAAATGTAGCAGATCATCAAAACACAAAGAAGAGGACAAAAGACTCTTTAGCTAACAACAACAAAAAATTCCAGGAATAGCTGCATACAATTTGATAATATAACCTTAAATAGAAATGGATTGAATATTCCAATTAGAAAATACAACTGGCTGAATGGATAAAAGGTAAATAAGTATATGCATCCATATAAGATAAGAGTGTCTAAGGGAAATATAGTTTACCATTAAAACACACAGAATTAAAGGGAAAGGCTATAAAATGACATTCCAAGAAAATGAAATTTTTAAAAAAATAAAATATATATTTATAATTCCAGGCCCTCAAAAGCAATCATGGTAGTTAAGAACAAAGTCATTATGATAGAGGCCAACTTGAAAAACATCTCTAGTGAGATGAGATTCAGAAAGTGGCATGAGAACCCCACAGAGCTACGTGAAAAATCACCCTCAAAGTGTTACATTCGTTTTCACAGGTCGGAAGCAGGCTGGCGCAGAGGAGTGGCCTCAGCCTCCCTCCCACTCTCTTGAGCTGCCATCCACCTGGCCTCCCAAGCCTCTGGTTCACTATAATCCTGTCAACTTCAAACATATGAACACCACTGAAAAAGAAATCAATGCAATTTGCTTTAAATGCCAGTTTCCTCAAGAACCTGATATTTCAGATACAAATCATTGAGGCTCCTCTTAAAAAGAAAATTCAACTTCCTCATAATCAACTACTTTATGTGAAGAAAAAGGCATTGTTACAATGCCTCAAAAACATTCTTGAATACGTGTGACAGATTCAGTCCAGCTTCTAACTAGCAAATGTCTTGCCCACATCCTCCTTCCCTATGTATCTCCTCTTTCCATGTGTGAATGGTATGTACTGGTATTTAATTATGTGCTTTATTTGCCTCTTTGTTGTGATACAGAAAAGCATGATGAAGTACATCACCAGGATTGGCCAGAACACTGGGACGTTAAAAGCCTCGAAGAAGGTACAGACCATAGCCACAAGAATGCCTTTCGTAGCTGTATGCCAAAATTTGAATTCTGGAAGCCTTTGAATGAGGGGACGAAACTCCGCATTCTGTTTGGTTGGTAATGAAGGACCATCATCTGAGTCTTCCATCAAGGAAGGATCCACTTCGGGGGAAAGGAACACTATGAAAAGGTTTAGGTGGTAAATTGCCAAGGCATAGGTCACAAGGTACCAACCCTGTAACAGGTAAACTCTAATCATGTAGACAAAACTCAGGCCCAGTGTCACGACCCACTGGACAGCTATGTAAGAGGCAGACTTGTCCAGCCAGGACTGATGAATCTGGCCAAGCCGTGTGAAAAATCTATACAACACTGAGGGCTTCCCATGGACAGAGTCTCCAACACTGTTCCCTTCAGACATTCTGTAACTAAGCTCCCCTGCACCTGCAGCTGAGCCGCAGTCTCCTTCACGGCTGCCTGAGGAGGATGGCAGGCAGGGTAGCCGCCAGAGCTCAGCTCGGGATCCGGGAAAGGAAATGTAATTTTAAAGTGAACAGGAGACTTCAAGGCAAAACCTCTAAGGAAAGTCAAACATCACTTTATTATTATTATTATTATTATTATTATTATTATTATTATTACTTGGTATTTTGAGACAGAGTTGCTCTGTGTAGCCCTGGTTGTCCTGGAACTCATCCTGTAGATCAAGCTGGCCTTGAACTCACAGAGGTCCGTCTACCTTCTGCCTCCTGAGTACTGGGATTAAAGCTGAGAGTCAACACTGCCTGGCTAGAACATCACTTAATGATGGTCAAGAGATCAATTTATCAAGAAGACGTAAGGATAGTAAATGCATGTGTGCCTAATACCATAGCATGTAATCTTAAAAGACAAATATTTGAGCTCAAGGAATGGCTATTGACCAGTGCAATGACAGAGATTTCAATACCTCACTTTCAAGAGCAGAGAGATCATCCAGGAATGATATTAATCAGAAATATCAGCATTAAACTGTACTTTAGATGGAATGAACTTGATATTTATAGAACATTCCAACTAAAGTTGCAGAATGCTTACATCAGCAAATGGGAATTTCTATAGAATGCACCATTAGATCAAGAAACAAGTCAACACTTTTTAAAAACAATCAGTTCTGTGCTCTGTGTTCCTAAATACACTACACTGAAACCACAAGAAAAACTTTGGAAATTACAGAAAGTTGTGGAAAATAAATGATTTCTTAAAAAAGGAAAGCAAAACATAACAAAACTCGTGGTATGTATCAAAGGCAATACAAAGTGGGGCATTTGTAGCCAAAGGGGTTTACACTAGAGAGATCCATTTAAAATAACCACCTTATGATGTATCTCAAGGATGTGGAAAAGCAAACATGAATTTAAGGTTAGTAACAGGAAAGAAAGAAAGATCAGAGCAGAAATAAAATACAAACTAAAACCATCATAAACCATCTGTGTTTAACCTTTAGAGATTATTATATTTATTTATTTGGGGAGTATTTGCATAACATGTGTGTGGAGGTGAAGGACAACTTGTGGAATACAATTCTTTCTTTCCACTATGTAGGTCCCAAGGATCAAACTCAGGTTTTCAGCCTTGGTGGCAAGTACTTTTATCACTGAGCCATCCATCTTGCTAGGCCCCAGAGTGTTGGTTCTATATTAAAAAATAAATAAAATCAACAATCCTTTCATCATATTAACAGAAGAAAATGAAGAACCACAAATAAAATTAGAGATGGCAATATCCAAATGACAACTGAAACAACAAGGTCTCAAAGGATTGTTAGGATTATTCTGAAAACTGCTATGTCTACAAATTAAAAAGTCTAAACAATACAGAGAAATTTCTGGACATGTATGGCATAACAAAATTAAACCAGCAAGTTATGAACTACAACAGATGTTTCTCTCTGAGGCCAGGAATGTTCCAAACTCATTCTAAAAGGCTAGCATTACCCTGCTACCAAAGCCTGACAAGAACATGATACAGAATAAAAAACAATAATTCTGATGAACATGTGTATAAAAATCCTTCAGAAAACATTTACAAATCCAATTCAACATCACAGAAAAAAAGATCCTATACCCTGACTAAGTTGGTTTCATCCCAGGGATGTAAAAACATTTTATTTTATGAAATAAAGTATGCCACGCAAGTAGAATGAGGGATGAATAACATATGATATTCTGAATAGGTACATAAAAGGCCCTTGCTGAAATTCACTATGCCTTCATAATAAAAGCGCTGAACAAATAAGGCTGGGGAGAAGGTAGATTATAGCAGGAGTGAGAGAGAGGCAGATGAGCGGAGGTAATGGAGAGTGAAAATGACCCCCAAATCGGCGTAGACATGAATAACATTGTCAGAGAATAAAAACGTTCCTTTCTGATACTAGAACTGGAAGAACAAGCTAAATCCAAGATTAGAAGATGAAAGGAAATAAAGGTTAAAACAGATAGAAATCAAATATAATAGCCAGATGGGGAGACATGAAACGAAGGGACTAAAAAGGAAAAAATAGACAAACCCAAAAAAGACAAGCTAGGCAAAGTACAAAGAGAAAACTCAAACATGAGAGTCTGGAAGGAAATAGAGATATGGTTTGGATGTAGCTTGTCTTCCAAACAGTCATGCATTAGAAGCTTGCTCCTAAGTTTGGCAGTGTTGTGGCCCTTTGAGAGTTGGGGGTGATCGAGGATTCATTTCTGGCCACTTTCACTCTGCTCTTTTTTTTTTTCCCCTAATATGATCGCTACCTCTCAAATGTTTCTCACATATGTCCCCCCAAGGCAACTTGACGCCAGCACAACTCCCTCGACTTTCCAGAACTATGAGCTAAATGAACCTTTGTTCTATAAAGTCAGCACACCCTCAGGTATTTTGTCATAATAACGAAAAATAAAATGATACAGAAAATTGGTGTCAAGGAGCAAGGTCAATTACTCTAGTTAGAATCGACTTGCAATTTTTTTTTTAATTTTTTCAATCCTTTTATTAAGGTATATTAATTAAGCATAATGATGGGTTTCCTCATGATTATTTTATACAGATACATGATTTATTTCAATCATATTCACCCCCATGATGCTATCTTGTCCCCCTCTCACTCCCACCAATCCTCTTCCTATCCTCAACTAGCTCCCCTTTCATGTCTTCATGTGTGTGGCTCTCTGGCTTTCATTAAAGCTGTGAATAGATGCAGGGTAAGGGTTTCTTTATAGGCTCAAGGGCACCTCACCAGTGGCTCCACTACTGGAGAAAATGTCACCTCATTCCTCATCTTGGAACGTTGCCTCCAAATTGAAACATTCCCTCCAGGGGGTAGGGGGAGACTCGGGAAACTTAAGAGGTAAAATATCATGTGTCTGGGAAAGCAGAGTTTTTGGAAGACTTTTGCAAGGCCTTAGCTTTATAGAAAGGGTATACAGTTGCTAAGAGAAGAGGCTCCCCAGGAGAGAAGCCCCCCCCCCCAGATGTGCAGAGCGGCCTGAAAGTGGTTCTGAGAACTCTTGGGATACACCAAGGACTCATCACCTGTTTTGGGAGTGGGCTTTTTGGCGATGCAGCTGCTTCTGAGTCATCTCTACTCCTGTAAGTAACCCCTCCCCCACATTCCTGTTAGTAATCCCAATTAAAAACTCATTCGTTCACCAAGTTGGACTTTGATGCAGTCATGGCTTTAGACAATCACAGGCTCCATTTCTGGGGGGAGTAGCCATTAACTGCATATAAAACCTTAAGGAGGAGTGGGCCACCACGAGTTACTCCTTGACAAGATGTTACTAGGCCCAGTCTTGTGCAAATCTTGTGCAGATTATCACAGCTACTATGAATTCAACAGCCATGTCATGCCTAAAAGTCAGTGTTTCACACCTTTCCTGGCCCTTCCTGTAGCTCATTTTTTTATTTTATAATTTAATTTAATTTTACATATCAGCCACGGATTCCCCTGTCCTCCCTCCCCCACCCCCTGTCGGCAAGAAAGAGGAGGGATTGTATGAGTGAGAATTGTTGAGACCATGACTGGAAAAAGCACAGGGACAAATAGCCAAACTAGTGGAAACACATGAACTATGAACCAATAGCTGAGGATCCTTCCTGTAGCTCTTACATTCTTTGTGCATCCTCTTTGACGACATTCCTCGAGTCTTTGAGGGGATGATACAGACACTTCTTTTTTATTTGTCTGTGTGTGTCTATCTACATGCATGCCACATGTATATAGGTACCTGTGAAGGCCAGAACTAGAGCTACCAGTTATTGTTATCTGCTTGATGTAGGTCCTGGGAACTGAACTTAGGTTCTTGATTGCTGAGCTATTGCTCCAGTCATGCCCCATTTATATTTGAGCATCCAATAGTCCCTTTATTCTTAACCTTTTGACTAGTTGTGAGTCTCTGCAACTGCCATAGAGAACTGCAAAAAGAAGCTTGTCTAAACGAAGTTGAACAAAGAACTAAGCTACCAGCACCAATAGAGTTATTTATAAGACAATTTGATGAGAATATCGTGAGACTTTGGAACTTATTTATGGAAAATTGACATTAAATCTGGGTTGCACTCAGACTGGAATTTCTTGACGAAATAGGTACGGTTAAAAGCCTAGTGTGCCATAATAGAGAGTTACTGGAAATTCTGACAAGGGATCAGAAGCTGAGGAGACCAGGGTACTAGTCTCAGTTGGAAATGAGGAGAATTCTATTGGAAATTCAAGGGAAAAAGTCATCTTGTTACAGCACAACATAGAACTTGGCTATATTTTCCACCCTAAGATTTGTAGAAGGCCAAATTTCTCAGAAGCTATTTGAAAAACAATATCCAGAATATTCAAGCAGCTACATGGGTATTACTGGACATTCGTAGTCACATACATTGAGATTGAAAAGCAAAACACAGAATGGAAATATTGGAAAATGTACAACAACCTGGCAATGGAAGGAGAAAAATAATCATACATAATAGATGAGGGTGTGGCTAACTAACTGCTTGCTGATAAGATAAGCTTGGACTCTAAATAATCAGCAAAGAACCTCAAGGGGACATTAAAAATCTTTGAGGTAGCCTACCCACCACAGGCCCAGAGGCTTGGAAGGGCTGTGTAGCTTCGTAGAATCTTGTAGCCATAATCATCAGTCTGTTACATATAACTGCCTTGGAACTTGCTTCTCTGTGTGCAGCTAGCAAGGCAGCTGTTACAGATGTTACAGAAGCAGAACCAACAGCTGGTGGTGCTAGTAGCAGACATTGGCATCCACAGATATTCGTGTGAAGAAAGTAAAAGTTATAGGGTCATGGTTACTTGCTACAAGGCTTGAAAGTGAAAAGTTGGTCAAAGGATCAGAATCCCACTAAGAACTTGTTATGAGACAATGCCTGATAGAGTTGTGACAGTCACAGAGAGAATGCAGAAGGGCAGAGAGAGCAGCATCAAC